CGGCTGTTTCTTAGGCTGGTAGTTGAGGCCCAACTTCCCACGATCCAGAGTGTGATGTCTCTCCAAACTATGATGCGTGTGTTGGGGAAAGACACCCCGCTGCATCTGAAACGTAAACTAGAGGTTGGTGTGTGACCACATGGCGCTCAGATCCCTTCACGCATGATTCGAACATTAATCAAGTTTCAACTTGAGGATGACCCTTTCTTATCTCCCTTTATCTCTTTGTTACGTTGAAATGGTTTTAACGAGGGTCGAGGGCTGAAAATGAGCTGCGTTTTTTAACCTGTTCTTGAATCCTTCTTGCAGGCTAAGGCTGTATCAATGAAAGACCAGTTCAGCCTTCCTAACTCTCTGCACATGATCTCCACTATGGTCACACTGGGCTTCCACTCCAAACCCCTGCTGGATGTCTGCACCAATAATATCAGAGGTAAAACCTTTAATGAAGCCCATCATCTTTGATTCGCAGTCTACTTTGAATAAAGTGGCAAATGAGACCTGAAATATTAAATTATACTCATCAAAAGATTTCTGTCTCTTCGTTTAATCAACCTGCTCGTCCTCTTTTTTTTTTTTCTTCTTCCCCTCTGGTAGAAAACCTGAACGGGATCCCGTTCAACAGATTGTTCAAACTCCTCTTGTCCTGCAGGGATCTGCGCTACAGAGACTCTGATCTGTTCAAAGACATTTCGGACTACGTGGCCTCCGTGATTTACATGTGGACCAACAAACAGGTGCTGCAACACACGGCTCAGTCACTTGGTTCTTTTTTTATGAAACACAACTTTGCCTTCATTTCTTTCCATTCTTCCGTCTCTCCCTCCTCAGGCGGTTCTCTTCCTGTTTGTGTTCGAGAGCCTCGGCTTCTGTCCCGACGCTTTGATGGAGGAGTTTGCAGAGAAAGTGATCGCCGATCCAGATGCTCTGACGCTGAAAGACCTCCTCTGTGTCCTGAAGGTGTACTCCTCCCTCAACTATGATCTGCAGCATCGGAGACAGCAGTAGGTCGACTGTACTCCTACATGCATTATTTCTAAGGCTGCTGTCACTCTGAGCTGTCTTCTGCTCTAAAGAAGTTAAGTGCTTCTCTATAAACTTTTTAAAGCAGCTACTTTTTAAAGGTGGATTAAAAATGAGCAATTCCTCAAAGTAGTTGGGGGGGATCATGAAGGGCAGATCATCTTGTGCATCATTTTAAAACCTACAGAAAAAAGTTTCCAAAAAGACAACACTCCAGAGGTGAAGGGACATTATTGTGAGATGCTAAACCTCAAGTCTCTGTTGCAGGTTCCTGGATAGTCTCTGTCAGGTTCTGGAGTCCTATCTGCCTAAGATGTCCAGGTTTGAGTTGTTACGGGCCGTTTTCTCTCTGTGTATACTCGGCCACTTCCCCTCTGCACCGCTGGAGAAGCTCCTGAAGGAGAGCACAGTGGAGCAGTTACAGATGACATGTAAGACTGTTTTTATCAGCTCTTTGACTATTTACCTCCCCCCCCTCCACACACACACACACACACACCTACAATTTCACAATTTCTCCTCTGTTTCCCCTCAGCACCAAAGTTCCTCGAAAACCAGAGCAGACTGTTGTGGATGCTGGACTTGTGCCTCCGTCTTGATCGTCCCGCGCTCTCTCGGCCCCTGACCGTCCCCTCGTCTTCCCTGGTAGACTACACCCCCGTCCATCCATCTATCAACTCGGTGCTCTCACTGTGCCTGCGGGATGTGCTGGGGGACGAGGCTGATACAATACTTGAGGAGGAGGTTGTGGTGGAGAACATGTACTTCATAGGTAAAGAGTGAAAGGTGGAATAGAGAGAACGTGAGGGCATGTTTTCGCTGGGATCGGTTTTTAACTTGTTTTTATTTCACCATTGTCGTCTCTCTTTTTGAACCAGAATCAGACTTTCTTTTTAAAACTGTTACCGTAGACACTACATGTGTGCACTCTTGACTCTCAGATGCTGTGATAACCAAACCTCTGCCAAACCAAACCCCTGCGACTGAAGCTGCCAGTCCTCCAGCAGAGAGCAGTCAAAGGTAAGAGTTCAACATCAGCATGTAGCAGAAAACACCTGCAGGGTTACCGTGGAGACTTCTGCAGCGTATTTCTGGTATAGCTCACCACAACTACAACCTTCATTGACTGAGCAAGCATGTTTCAAACATGTCAAGGTTTGGATTCAAATGAAGTCTGTGCTAATGACACTTCACCAGGAACCCAAATCTGAAAAGTTGAATCAGCCACTCTCTATTCAGATTATCTCTCGTCTCTCTGGTGCCTTTTTCTTTGTAACTTTAACGCAACTGTGCACAGACAGTCCCCTGTAAATATATCATGTAGTTAGTCATCTGTTTGAATGTATATTTCTCTCTTTAAACGTTTTATCTGTGCAGTTATTTCAGCTGTACCTGAAAAAAATAGGACAACCTAGAGCGTGAGCATTTTATCAGTCTCCAACATGAATAATTTAAAGTTAGACTGGAAAGAAAATGAGGAGACATGTAAAAGAAAATAGACCTTACTTTTCTAACTGTATGTCTTTCTGTCAGTTAGTGATTGAGTGCTTCCACTGTTTCCTGTTGAGCCTGCTGCATTCAACCAAGAACTTTACAACAAATAGCTCAAATAGTTTGTAGTAACTATGATCAAATACATGCATCGATCATTTTTTGTTTGTTTGTTTTTGGGGAGGTGAAGAAAAACAGTTACTGGCAAAAGCCTTTTGAAAAAATTTCAAGATGTGGGCGTCAAACGGTGTCGACATTTCAGAGTGAAAAAAAAAAAAACCCACAGTCTGCTCATGTTTCATTCTTTAGCCTCACAGTGATCTTCTTCATTTCCATCTGGTCATGCATGCATCAAAATTCATATTTTGACCTTTTTTTTCAAGCTGGGGAAACTCTCTTCTTAATCCCCTAGAATCGCAGTACTCTGTGCACCACCCTCCGCTGTTTGCTTCGGCACCTCTCGTCCTCGGGGTCCCCTGGCTGTAAGGATCCGCCATCTGAGGATTCTGGGATATGACCCTGTCATGGTGAGACTTAAATCCCTTTTTTACGAAGGACACAAGGGCCGTATCTGAATTGCCAAGTACCTACTCAATCTTTCAGTATGCAGTATGCAGTAGATACTATCTGTGCTGTATACTGTTAGTACCTACTATTCAGTATGCACACACAGTAGGCAGATATTTGTTCCTACTTCTTCTGATTCATTCAGTATGGAAGTGACGTCATTTACGTTTCCCGAACCGGCCACATCCACCCGTGTTTTTTTCCGTTTTTTTTTTGTATAGCTTTATTCAAGAAGAGTAACGCGCATATACAGTCAGGTAAACAAACAACAATATCACAATGTAAATCAAGTAAAAGACAGATTAAATAACTAAATAACATACAGTACATACAGGAAAGTACAAATGAAAGACAGTAATATACAGAATATAAAATAAACTAATGAAGACACATTTAAATCGTGAAATCATTATTTAAATAGAGGGAGAAAGGTTTTATAATAATGCAGATATTTGTTATATTTTCTGTTGTTAATTAAAAGCAGTGATTTCAGTCGGGACTTTAACTCTAAATTAAAAATTGATTCAATTAATCCACGCTCGTTTGATTTGGAGGCGGACGTGACGTGATGATTTACGTTTAATTTCGCACAGCATTGTGGGTAAAATACAATTCATTTCCTGAAAGCACGCATCCGATCCATACTGCATGAAACCCGGAAGTTAGTATGCATACTGAAATGTTCAGTTACTGAGGTGGACCCAAAAAATGCATACTGAATGACCAGGAGAGTTCAGTATACTGAAACTCCATACTGAAAAGTACGTACTGCATACTGAACTGTGACTATTCAGAAAGGGCCAAGGTCTCCACAACAATAACTCTCTGATGTTTCACACAATGCCTCGTAAAACTACAAATGAAAGATTCATTTTCAGCAGTGATAGTTACTTTTTTTCCCCCCAGGTAACAGAGCAGGGGCTGCAATTTATGTCTGAGGAAAAAAGGAAGGAGTTTCTCAGGGAACAGATTTATCCGGAACACCACGGAGGCCAAAAACAACCTGAAATGGAGCAACTGTGATCTTGAGCTTGTATGTCAGTCTCTGCCTGAACACACTGATTTGTAAACATCTCAAAGTGAATAAATATGAATCTGTACATGAAGTATTTAAATGAGTGTTGTGTCTGGATAACTTTATCTTCATACAATATATTCGATGTCTACATAAAGTAAATAGGAACACAGCTTGAAGGACATGAAGCTGGAGCTTTAATTGATTGTAAAACTTAACACTCATGTGGTCAGAAGGCTGGGATATTAAAGTCCTACACATTTGAAGAAATCAAGTTTTAGAGGATTTATGCCACTCCTTCCAGATCACTTTTAACAACTTTTTTTTTTGGTTTTGTGTCATCCGTTATGTCGTGTGTGACTCTCGGGGTTGGAGAACAACTTAATATGTTAATCTTGCTGATTCTTGCATTCGTCGATGAGTAAGATCATGTAACTGAATGAAACCAATAAAACCAGTATGTGTGTGTGTGTGTGTGTGTGCGCTGCCAGAACTGCACTGAAAGTGCAAGGTGAGCACTTTTTTTTTTTTTTTTTTTTTTTTTTTTTTTTTTTTTTTAAAAGCAGCCACATCTGCAAAAAGCTCGAGGAGCGGAGAAAAAGTGGAGGGAGACAGGAAACGGTGCAGACTTGTTATTGTTTGATGTGTGCCGTTCCCTGTTGTGTATCTTCTTCTCAGAAACGAGGGTGTGCACACTAAAAGAGAAGTGTGCTCTTTATCAGCTGTAGGATTTTAAAAAATCTATATATAATGCAGCCTTGACCACAAGTCATCAAGAATCAAAGGCTGAGAGAACCCCTTAAATTGTGGTTAAATCCCCTCAATCAGACACAACCATGTTTTGACCACAAAGGGGTTGTGTGTGTGTGTGTGTGTGAGAGAGAGAGAGAGAGTGACACAGGAAGCCAGCAAACCAGAGCGGTGTTGGGTTTTCTTGTTTCATTTTTCTACAGCAACATTTAAAATCAAGAGCTTCTACTTTACTCTTCCTGTTCAACGACTGCTAGCAGCAAAGAGTCCGTTTGTTTCTGGTGAAGATTTGCAAACGAGGAGGAGCGTCCGTTCCAAGTGCAAAAAAAACCCAAATATTTGGGGGGCATCCAACAGATTTAATCGAGCTCTGCAAACTCTGTTTACGGAATGAAACATTGATATAACGGCAAAAAACAGTAATTAAAGTGTTGGACGTTGTTGTTTTTGGAGTCATGCCCTGCCTCCTGAGACAACCCCCCCATCCCTTCCCTTCTGACAGAGATAACTTCCCTCTGTGAGGTGCATGTGTCAATAAGAACCTCGGGAAGATTTCAGCAACAGGCTGTAAGTGTTGTAGAAATGTTCAGGAATGCGAGTGTGAGAAGAGCTTTAAATGTTCTCTTTTTTTGGACAAGCCACTCAAAGGTTGATCCGTCAACGGTGTGGGAACTCTTGGGGAAATGCTCGGCTCTTTCACAGGGGATCAGAAGTAGCGTGGCGCAGGATTTTGAACGCCTCGATTCTTTCGTTGGCCCCTGGGTGCTCTTGGTTTGGTGTTCATGTAGTCGCTCTGAGAATCCGTCTTCCTCAGTTTCACCTGAAAAACATATAGAGGCTGCTGAACAACATTTCATGTTCCTAAAGGTTCATTTTACCACATTTCAGGATCTTAAAGCTCATTTAAAGCCCCCCCCCCCGTGCATTACTCTTCTAATATTGCTATGTGCTTGAGTGATATTGCATTCTCCAGTATCATCAACCTCTGTTTCCAATTTACAGAGGCGCTGCTCGTCAACAGGCAACGCAGGCCACACTGCTTGGGGCCCCGGGCTAGTAAGGGGTCCTGGAGGGCTGACGAACTTTAATTCAAAGCAGAGGTGCAAATTTTGCAACAGCAGGACACATCCCCATCTGACAGCACTCACTGCTCAGCATCGCATGCATTATTAGTCCTGGCAAAACCAAAGTTTGTCAAAGGCATCAATTATCCAAGAGAAAAGCGCGAGGAGTCACGTGTCAGTTTAAGTTTCTCTTGAACGTCTTTGTCATGCTTCTGTCGATGAGTTTGGATCTCCAGTTTTCTCTCCTCGTCTGGTGATATTGTTTAGCACATTCAAACTTTCTTACCCAGAAGAATACGGCGGAGACGGTGATGATTACGCTGTAGAGAGTAACTGACACAAGAGCCAGAATCCAAATCCAAATCCAGGGGTTGTCACTGCATTCCTGTTTAGGGACCTTGCACTGGTGTCCTGGAAGAGAACATTCAGCGAGGGTTTCATTGCAGTGGACTTCATGTCAATGTAACCACACATGTTAGGAATATTTACCTTCTATAAGTACCAGTATGCTCACAGCTCCTGGCACAGCTGGAAGCAGGGGAGGAGGGAACCTGACCTGGCCCTCACACCTGTACACGCCGTGGCTGCTGGCATTCACTCCTGTTAGCAGGAAACTGACTGAGTCATTGTCTGTTTTTATGTGCAGCTGCACCCCCCCCTTGACGACGATTTGCAGTCTGGAGCTTTGTTGCCAAGGCTGCAGGTGTGGTTTGAAATCACTTCTTGGTCTTTGAGAAGGTTCAATCTGAAATCTTCGCCCGTCATGTTCGGGCACGGCACAGAGACGCTGTCTCCAGCAGCTACGCAGACACTTTTAAGTTTGTCTAGAGAGAGAGAGAATAAAAAGACATATTTCTTAGACATACAGCACAAGGTAAGATCTCTGTGTGTGCTCTTGAAGATGCTTGTGTCAGTGAACTCAGTCAAGAGGTTTGCTCTGTCGCCAAACACTTTGCAAAGGGAACGCAGCTCCGGCAGACATACATTTCTTTGAATTCAACTGAAATTCAGCCATTTGAAACCCGTCATTTCACCGCATCTCCTCCCCCACACGGAATGTCTTCAATAAGAGCACATCTTTGCACGTTTACCTCTTTTACCCTGCCTCGCCTTGCACTCGAAAAACAGATATTATTCCACAGTGAGAGTGGCAAACTTGACTCAGCCGCAGAGTGACTCAGGTTTGCCAGTCTCACACTAAAGGTAGAGGGGCTCTTCCTTTGCAGGGATAAGTGCTGAAATGAACACCTTGTCTGCTTTACGTAAACAGCAATCACAATGCCATGAGTTCTCTCTGCTGAATGGTGCATATTCAAATCCCTATATGGGATGTTTGAGACTGATTCAACATGCAAGTGCAATATAAAAAGAAAGACTGACTCTCTCTCTCTCTCTGTCCTGATTTATGAATGTATCCACCCTCCTATCGCTGGAGTAAAGTGGTAAAAACTCCCCAAAAAAATCATCTTTAAAAAAAAAAAGAAGATTCATACTGTATATGTTATTACAAGACGCTTTAATGTCAGAGCCATGAGATTTACCAAACAGTCATCTCAAAGTAAAAGTCAACCTCACAGGTAGAAATGAAGAGAGAAGTTAACAAGTATGTTCCCTTTAAGAAGATTTTTTTGGAAACTTTTACTTTTGTAGTCCCATGTAAACTTGTCCTTTTTCCACCTCTTGGTCGTTGAGGAATTTCTCATTCAAATAAAATCCTATTAAGCTCACATGACATGATGCATTACTGCTCCTGATCCACCAAGTGATACAGGAACTAAACAAATGGGCTCTATATAGGTGCACTACATTAAAGTAGTCTACCGTGTATTTGTCAGTGATAAAAAGAGAATTCTATAATTCATACTCAAACTTTTAAAGGGGCCTACCTGCAAACTGAGTATTTCAATTGTATCCGATAATTCGTTGTTGCTTCATCTCACTTTTGAATTCAAGACTTTTACATGTTAAACTGTAATTCTAGACCTGTCTTTGTTCTTTTTCTTCACTATAGGATTCATTCACTACCTCTGCTACTTCCAGACAAAATCACAGAAATATCCAGCCTGATTTTTCTACTGATACAGCTGCTGCAAGTTTACAATTTACCCTTTAAGAACAGGCATTACTGCAATGTGGGGGGTTAACCACCGTCCTACTGTAACCACAGAATCACAGTGAAGTCCTGCTCATTTCTATCAAATTACTAGAAGTTATACTGTTACTTATTACTGAATATCAGTTACTATAAGTGTACGAATAATTACAAGCTTGAATTTGTGTTGCAAAATCTCACCGTTGAATGTGCAGGTGTTCTGCCCCTGAGTTGCAGCATCAGAGATCCTGAAGCCCACAAGGATCATAAACACCCAGCAAGGACTCATCATGAACTTCCCTGCTGCAGAGTGATTCTTCCCCTCATCACCTAAAACTTGGAGCTCCTCCAGCAAACTCCGCCAGTTTTATTCTGCAGACAAAATCTGATCTGATCCGCCGATATCATCAACCTCTGTTTCCATGCGTGCGTTCCTTTGACGTTTGTGCATCACGTCCTCATCTTACCTCTGACAGAATCACTCCCACGGTGCCGGCAGAGACTGAAACTCACACATCTCCTCTAGAGAGAAAACATCCTTTCTCAGAACCGCCTCCTCTGCTCATGTTTGTGAACTTCGATGTCTTCGAAATGTAACAAGGTTGTAGGTATGTGCTCATTTGGCCAGTGAAGTCATTGCAGGGTAGTTTTTAGAAGCTGTTGCATGTTTGATAAAGTGTGTTTAATCGTGTTGCTGCTTTGTGGCAATAAAAAAAGAAAAGAAAGATTAGAGTTAAAAACAAAATAAGTCTTTGCATCTTGCTGTTCTCGGTATTAACGACATCATCAAAACAAGTATCTTGAAATCAATTATTTCTGCCTCCACGATATCTGCTGTTTGAGTTGCAACTTTGCACTTTTGACTCGACCAGTCGGAGTAGGAGTAAGTTTCTGTGCATGTGGCAGCTGTGGTTTAGTTGGTAGAATTGCGTCTCTCAACCGGAAGGTCGAGGGTTCAACTCCTGCAGCAACATTTCCGATGTGTTAACTCCAAATTGCTCCCGCTGCTTCATCAGCGGTGTATGAATGCGTACAAATGGGATGAGTTCCTTCTGATGGTCTCACGACATAGCAGCCTCTGCCATCAGTGTGTGAATGTGTAGGTGTGACTTGGGGTGAAAACATCCTTTGAGTAGTCAGAAGACGAGAAAAGAATGATACAAGCTCAAGTCAATTTACCATTCACCAAAAGAAAATCAGGAAAACGTCTCGTTGTGCCCTGCAAGAAAAAGTCAAAAGTTTGATTCTACTGCCTCAAAGTCAAAGTCAAAATACTCATAAATCTTCACGATTGTGAGTTTAGTCAGACTTGAAATGATCACTGCAGCATGTTTAATCTAAAATATACTCTTTAAACTCCTGCACGTTTCTTGTATGTGTTCCAACATTAGGATAAGAAGTGTTGCGTTGCTGCCACAGTCAGTGACCATCAGTGCAGTGACCCGGTGTACCAGATCCAAAACAGGGCTGAACTGATATCTGTGGATGCCAAGGTAACGTCTTACAAAGAGAGAGAGGGAGAGAGAAAGTTTGTGTTGGAGAAAAGACAAACTGTCTCACATCAGTGTATTTATGCTGCTTATAAGATCCCACGAAGAGCGATTATATCTACGTCATAGTTTGATGATATAAAACCGGTGTTTAAGCAGCAAAATGAAGTTGAACATGCAATATGTTTCGTTGGCCGCTAGATGGCGACAACGCAATGTATTTTGATTTTTTTTGTGGTTAAACGCCAGTTTAAAAAAAATGTTATTCCACACAATGTTTTAATAATTGCAACAGTATTCCTCTCTGCCTTGTGGCACTTTTTTGGGTTTGATTCAGAGTTTAAAGCCCAGAGCCCAGAGCTGGGATTAGAGAGCGTAAAAAGGCAGAAAATATTGACTCTGTGTGGCTACACATGGTGTCAGATTCATAGGGTTTTAGAGAGGGGATTAGAGCATTTTTTAAAATGATGTTTTGTAATTATGAGTCAGAAAATGGCTGAATGGGGGGATTGAAGGGTTAGTAATGCCATGTGTCCATATGGGTGACACGTAATCTCCTAATCTGGAACAAGTCCCCTTTTGTCTGCTGCTGGTTTTAAGTGAACATCAGAAGGAAAGAAAACTTCATGAATGAATGGCTTGCAGTTTGTCCACTTAAATTATTCATTTTGTATTTATTGAATATTTGAGGGTTTAATCTTTTAAACTGTAAAGCATCATGAGGACTAGACATGACTTCTATTTGTTCTTCTTCTAATTAATTTTACAAGTAGGAGTGATAATATTGTTTTATATTTATTAACTGCCTTTGGCTGTGTGGGGCTATTATCTACTGGATGCTGATGATGCTTTCACTGTTCCTCGGAAAGCAGAGTAACTGCATCAACTGTGCAAAAGGTGAAAACAAACTCTCCCACCGGGATTTTTTAGATGCCCCGAGTTTACCCTAGAAAAACTCGTAAAAACGAATTTAGTATCCTTTCTGTAGTCGTGTCAATGAGAAGTTAGAAGTGTTAGTAAAAAAACAACAACGTAGCTTTAAAAAAAATAACATATATAGTTATGATTACTACGTGAAAAAAAAAAATACGAGATCAAATATAAATATCAGATAAAGTATATTTACCTTTCCTTATAATTACCGATACTACCTTTGTCAAAAAGATGACTGTGTAAAATTTGACTTGTTCAGTTGTTTTAAGGTTTCACTTGTATCTAATAATCATGACTTTTGTCTAATAGATATAACTTTTTATCTTATTGTGATGTACAGAGAGGGCTTTTTATCAATTTATAATAAGGACTAGTTTACTTTTTTTCTCCTTTTTTTACAGGGTTCAGTTTTTCTGCAGTATCTCCGTGTCTGTCCCCTCTCTCGCGATTCGTCACATTCCTACGGCCCCTGAAGGCACCACCGTGTTCTGGGCTGGACCAGGGCTGGACAGGAAACGACGGAGACGCGCAGCGTGTCTCCTCACTCGGCAGCGCAGGGAGAGAAGAATGGGAAAGAGGGGAAAAGGTCTGTGTATGTAGACGAGGCAGCGTGTGAAAACATGAGGTCAACGGGCTGTTTTTAAACTACCTTTAAAGCAGATAATTACACGTATTTTACCAGGACTTTCCCTCTTTTTTTCCACCTGAGGGAAGAGGTGTTAGCAGCCGTTGGAGCCCCGGAGAGGAGAGGACCCTCTTTGTGAATCCCATTCGACTGTAAGCAGATTTTCGTTACTATTCTGGTATGTTTTAATCCTATAATACTCCTGTCTCTCTGTTTTAAATAGCCATTCTCATAACCTAGAAATGTCAAACATGAATAAATGTCAGCCCATCCATCCTATGTTGTATCCTCGGGAAAGGAAAGGAAAGGAAAGGAGGCAGGGAGAGGAGCAGCGGTGTTGTATCATTCTTCTTAAAGGCAATGGACAAACAAAGCAGATGTTAGATGTGATGTTGCCTGTTTAGTGAGTGTTTTGTGTGTTTGAATGGGGGTCTGTGAGCCCCCCCTCCCACCCCCCTATGCGGCCATTGAACAATCCCTTTTCTTGGGGGAGAAAGGGCGTGCAGCGTTTTGGGCCGACTTGGAAAAGAGCCGCAGCTTTCTTTCATGGGAGAGGCAATTGAACGCAAGCAACCTTTGTTTGTATTTGTTGGTTTAATTGTCGTGCGCAGCTTATTAGAGGCGTTTGCAACCTCATTTTGCTCCCTTGCGTGCAGGGGGGAAAAGATGCACAGTCTCCACCCTGTTCAGCGGGTGGAGGCTCTCTCTCAGCCGCTGGTAATGGCCGATGGTTCTGTCGCGTTGATGTTTGTTTCCCCCCCCCCCCACCGGTAAATCATAAATAAAAAGAAAAATATTTAATTCAAGTGGTGATGTGAGGTAATGTGCCAGGGGTTTGGTGTATTAGTAGTATTATCATCACTGCAGCGGGTGAACACTGTTTTAATTCCCTTTGTGTGATGACGCTGCCGGCAGCAGATTGGTTAACATGAAGCCAGTGTGACCAGTGGCTGTCCCCAATCTACATACATCTAAGAATGATCAGCTTAGTTCACTTCTTTTTTTTTTGAAGGTGTAATTGTGCTGGAAAGTTGATGCGACAATAATGTTGAACAACAATCAGACGGTCACACTGAGGAGATAAGTGACCCTACATTGACAGTAGGGCTCAAAGGTCTTTGTGACAGGGGTGTCACACCATGCCCCAGTCTGGGCTGACCACCATATGGCTTTTTTACCAAGTAAACATTCCCTGTTTGACTCTTAGAGGAAGCTACATGCGTGCAGCAATGTAGTCAAAGACGAATTCCCCTACAACAACAACAACAACAACATGTGTATCATATCTTATCTTATCATAATGCATCAATAAAACAATATAGGAACTATAAAGAATATAATATTGTACCATATTACACTTAAGGGACAATAAAGTGACCTTATCGTATCATATTGTATCCGTCAATTCAATACAGGGACAATAGAGTATAAGGTGTAACGTAACATGTATCATATCATTATTCCGCTACAGGGACCATGAAGAGTTCTGTATATACTGTACAGTATCCTATTTATGTGTGCTTTATAGTATTGTAGATATTATCGCATCGTTATTCCATTACAGGAACAGTAAAGTGTTGCATGTCATAGTGTACCATACCATACGGTATTGTATTTTCTACCATATTGTCTTTAGTGTTGAATCTCTGTTTCCCAGTCAGCACCAACTGTGAGCCCTTTTTAAGCTTTGATTTCGAAAACTCCACAAAGAAAGTTTGCACATAATTTGTCCTCGCAGCTCTTAAAAAAAAAAAAAGGCAGAATGACCCTTGGATGCTTATACGCACTCGATTGACACCTGATGGGAAGCCACGTTTGGAGAAACTTTGGGGGCTTGAGTGCAGTTTACTTAGCTTTGTGAGACTTTTGAATCCAGCTCTTCTCATGACTTGCAACTCAATCACACTTTTCACACTTTTACTTATCTCGGTGGTGACCATGATGCATTGCTGACTTGAACAATTGTGCCAGAAGAAGATATCCCGGTGAAATCTGGTCCCGATTTATTCAGTGTCTTGAAGAAGCTGGTGAAAAATAACTTTTCCTTTTGGCCGAGTTTTGAAAGTCTTTCCAATAGTTGTTTTTCGTAAATGTCTTTTTACCTGACTTTTCACAAAGTGAACATACATTTTTTCTGAGTCTTGCCACTTAACCAAAGCTAGGCGAGGATTGGATTTAAACTCTTCCCTTCAGGGGCGAATACGCAAAACAAACAGCTGAAAAAAAGGCCACTTGGCCCGGCCTTTATTCCCCACAGTGGCATCATAATAGACCGTCTGCGTCCCTTAAGGCACGCTTGATTTGCATCCACAAAGCACTCGACTAGGAGCCCATTATTCTGGGCATGGAGACAGTGCTGCAACAATGCGACCCATTGGCTTACAGTGCAGTTAATGGGTTGAAAATAACTGCTGGCCTTATGGTCTCTTCCCCCTCCAGCCTTAACGGTTGCTTTTTTGCAGGAGGGTTTTTGAGTTCGCTCAACGTCTAGACAAAAACAAAAAATGTGTTGATGCCACAAGCACATCTGGAAAGCCAGTGATATTTTGTGTTTGTCCCTTCGGGGATGAGTATTGTGTCTTTGTTTCCTGTGCTCAGTGTGTCTCTTAAGAGTTTAATTATCTACTGGTTATGTTAAATGGAGTCTTTGCTCTGTTTTTGATGTTTGAGGCAAATCTTTAGGCTTATTATATTCCTGTGGCTGAATTCCAACATGATTATTGTCATAAAAGTTATTGGCAAAGTCATGAAGAAAATCCCATTATTGTTGAAAGCAGACCCAATATCTTTTAAGAGTGCTGGGTTTAGATTGTCAGTGTTGTATCAACGTTTTCATCCCAAGAAGCAGAGTTAGTTGTGATTTAAAAAAAAAAAAAATAGTGCAAACACATGAAACAGGGGACAATACAGCACTTCATGTAAGAGGCAGTGTTTAATAGATCTGAAGTCATTGCATTCAGGTAGTATGGTGCACAGCTTAGTCATAAAAAGCTCAGTCATGGATTATATTTCCAGCCACAGGGGTAAAACACATGTTAGAGGGAGAGCGTGTCATTTCTCTGCCTCTGTTTAAATGCACATGTCAGGAGTTTTTCAATGTCAGCTTTTCTCTTTCTTGAATCTGTCGAACAGACCACCTTCAAGGGGGAGAAACTTCAGCTCCAAATTCTTAACCAGAAACATGGTTTCCTCGTTCAGCCGCTCTGACATGTTTTGCTTAAAGAAGAGGGGAATAAAAAAGTCAGTTTGCTCTGCTGAATAAATCCTTCAGCTGCTGCCTTTCTTATCTCTTTTTTTTTTTTTAAACGCTTGATTTCTCTGGGATGTAGTTGATCAGACGAGAAAAACAGTTTGTCAGAGAAATTCTTGACTTGACGACTGATCAGCAGAACAGAAAGGAAAAGCTGTTCTTAGTTTGTGTGTGCCGGCCTTGTCAGCACTTCACTGGCTGTGTCGCGTGAGTCGCAAGAGCTCATATCTGACCTACGCCCATCCAGAAGACTTTCCTTCACAAAAGCTCCAGATATGAGGCTGGAGGTGGTGATGGTGTAAGTTTACCCTGGTTGGGTTACAGCCAGGGGGCTGTATGTGGGTAAAGGAGGGTAAGGGGAGAGGATGGCACTTCAAACGCAGCCTTCAACACACCCCTGATGGAGAGCCAGAGGGGAGAGTGTAAGCTGATAGTTCCACTGATAGGAGGTACTTTGGCCAGGGTTTGGAAGAAGAAAACAAACTGGAGTAGGCCAACAGCTGCATTTAGGTCCAGCTCCTTGATGCCAAACATGATGCACCACGTTAGAGCTGGAAAATTAAACAATCTCTTTACAGGATTAGAGTAATTCTTCTAATCTCTGGAAATGGTTTTCTTCATGGGCGGAGGGAAAACCAAAGTAACTGTACGGGGCCGACTTTGGATTGCAAAGCATCTTTTGCACCGCCGGTAATCGGGTGTAACCAATGGGCATGAAAGTGTGATAGTGAAACCCTCCAAAGATGACCAATTTGTTTAAAAAAAAAAAAAAAGTTACACAATGTATTTTACAATGATGTTAGAGTCAGATCAGCTAGCAGCCCCCTCAAAGCCTATCATGTGTCCTTTGAAGAGCAGTGAAGTGACACAGATCTTTAACCTGAAACTTCTTTTTAAATGATTGTTTTTACATGTTTCATACATGTTTGTTTTGAAGGAGAGGCCTCTGGATAACTTTCTTCTTGTTTAAAAACCTTGTCGACAACCCGTAGTAATCATTCAAAACATGCGATGCTAATGTTAGCAGCAGCTTGGCTTACAGCCCCAACGCACACGTCAGTCGACAGACACACATTCTTATTGTGACTGTGCAGTCATGTTGTTTACAGATTTTAATTACCAGGTCAGCCTGGTTTAGGATGGGGAAAACATTCTGTGGAGAAATCCTTTTAAAACAAGCAGAGGTGATCTCAGCAGCAGCTCAGTCTGCAGCCCCTCCTGATGTATTGTGTCTGTGGTCTCTTTTGTTTCCCCAACTGTTATTGTTTGTTTTATGTGACGAGACCTCTGCAGAAGAATCAGCTCCAGTTAAAAACCTCTTGATGATTGACAAACTGGGGGATCCTAAATGAACTTATGAGAGCAGCAGCTCGGCTCACAGCCCCTTCAGCCCCTTGAAGAACATCACAGAGATCGCTGTTAAAATTAAACAACTTAACTCAACTGGTTTTAATTATATTTACTCATAGAAAGCCTTGAAAAGATGTCACCTTAAGGCCACTATACTTAGCATCATCATGCCATCTGTTGTGACTACTTTCAGTCAATGTTTAAGTACTCATTGTTCATGTGTTTTGTCACATCCACCCTGAGTGGAAAATAAAGCAGGCTGCATTTAAATCCAGATCCTTGAAGCCAAACAAGACGCCACATTATGGGCGTGTTGTGTGAGTCTGAGTGGGTGAAAACCAGAGAGAAAGTGTGTATTAGTCACTCCACCTGGGTGTGTCCCGCTCTCTTGTCACAGGCACGTTGTCCTCGCCACTATAGGGCCTTGTTCTGGGAACATTTTGCTGACCTTTGGTGGCAGCTGCCCCTGCCATTTGGAGACAAAGACAAATGGCTAACCACGGTGGCTGCAGCCTCCTCTGTTTCTGATCGAGGGTTGCTCTTCCTGTTGGCCTTTTTATGCAAACTGAGATACTGAT